CTTGACGGTGTTGAGCCATATCTTCATTTGACGGCCATGTCGGTATAGGCAGTTTGCACTACGAGAGGGGCTCACGACCAATCTGCAGAGGTCTGTCGATGGCTTGCACAGGATATGGCCAAAGCATTGCAATCGGCGATACTGGATGTTTGATGCATGAGTCGTTGGAGTTAATGGCCCCTAACGACTCATGCATCGATAGGCACGTCGAATTAAATTCGATGTATACCAATTCAAAGAAGCCTGGAAAAGGCGCCAACCCAAAAGCCATACTATTTACCAACGATGACAAAGCACCATCGATTTCTTCTGTATGTTTAAAATACGCACTATTCTGAACACTTCTTCCACACGTCCGACGACAACCTGCTGTACCAGAGTCGAACATTTACAATAAAGTTTGCTTACGGTTCCCAAAGAACTTCTTCTATCAAAAAATATATATGCATATTAATTAATATGCGCAAATATTCGGGGTCCAGATATCATATTATGTTCATCATCCCCGGAAGAGGAAGAAGAAGGGAGGGTAAGAACTGGGACAAGATTGTATTCATGTCGAGATTTCGAAAACATGCTCATTACCATCGTCAGAGCGTAGTGCTTACTTTTCCGCTGACCTCGAATTAATGCGCTTCACTGCCAGCCTCGTGTTGTAGCCGTGCCCGATGTACGTGGGTCCGTTCGCTCGTTGGTTGGCTCCGTCCCCTCCACCATCGTTGACCTTGTGTTAGCATTGGATCGATCGATTGCTGTCGCTCTTTCGATGCCTTCTCGGCCTCACGAGCGCTTCCGTGAGAAAGGGTGCCAGGCCGGTCATGTGACTCCCGATCGTTGCCACCTCCTTCCCTTGCGGGTGTCGGCCGCTGGTCCTGGGTATCTTCATTCGCTCACCCTATTGCCCCGTTCTGCGCGGACGTGAGCCTTGTGCAGAGCGTTCGGTAGGCAGTGTTTAACGCGATGGCTCTGTTTACTGTGTCAGTCGACTACCAACTTTGGAGCACTAGTCTGATCATCTTATCAGTGACCCTGTTGATCACCCTCGCTTTCTCAAGGGCGAAAACGTGGTTCAGCTGCTGCACGTGGCCGTAGAAAGTTCGTCCTTGCGGTTGATTGCGAGCTGCTGCTCATGCAACCTCGTGCCAAGACGTTTGCCCGTTTCACCGATATGCCTTGCTCCACAATCTGGGCAAGGAATGCTGCATACCACGGTCGATTATTCGGCCGTTGAAAGTGGATCCTTGGGCTTCATAACCCGCTGCCTGATGGTTAGTGCCGGTTTGGGGACTACGCATGAATACAATCTGGTCTCAGTACTTGCCCTCCCTTATTTTTCCTCGTCTTCCGGGGATGATGAACAGGATATATATTTACTTGTAAGGTCCCATCAAACTATCACGAGCCCCAGGGTAAGAGAATGCTAGCAACGACAGAAGCAACCGGCATCAGGTTGCGAAAGCCGGTCTTGTGTGTGCACAAAAGAACCTCCTGCAAGCTCCGTACCTGGCATGGCCAACAGTCGCTTAATTGCATGCCCTCTTCCGCGCTCTCTATTTTTTCGCCTCCGACCCCAGCCTTTACCTGAACTGACTCTGCCAAACCCTCCCTCTCCCCCCCCAACCACGTAACCAGCCTTCCCTTGTCGACACCTTCCTTCTATTCCGACGACAGATCTGGATGATAAGACGAACATTATTGACCGCTAGTTTAACTTGTCCTCCGTTCCCATATAAATGTGTTGACCCCGGGAGCATCTATCGAAAACAGTTCTTCTAATTATTAACTATTTAAATCATGAATAAATCCAGTATCACAAGCCATTGTGGATTTGGTTACTGTTTAGGGAAATTCGTCGCTCAGCGGTTGCTAGCCTGTCGCTTGGCACTATTGTTGGAAACACTGTTTTTCGAAATGCGCGTCGCTTCGAACACTGAATAGCCTACTTAAACACCATACCTTTTATTTGCGATTATTCTTATCCTTACCTATAATACGCTCTCGTATTACTTATCATTTTTCCCCAAGCGTAGAAACCCACCACGTCCGTTTTACGTGAGCTTATGGCTGTGAGGTGGAATTGCACAACCCATGGTTGCTATTGGCTCCCTGGTAATGCTAAGGAGGAGCGACAGAGTGATAGCGTTTACGGCTTTGGAGGCTTCGCCAAACAGAGCTTTTCAGGAGGCGCGGTCAGCGTGTGGCCAAGCTGAGCGACCCACAGACAGATGGTGAGTACGGAAAAAGAGTTGTCTTTCAAGACACCCGCGGCATGCACAGATCGGACCGACGCGAACCCGGCAAAATGGGATCCACTCCTCCCAACTCGGATTGTTCTGACTGCAGGCGTATTCCGAGTCGGCGAAGAGTAGAGGCTATCTGCACGCTCAATATGCCAGCTGGTTAGTTGGCTACTGGGGAAAGGGGGCGGCGGCTTAAACCCATTGGACGAATGGGGTCTAAGCGATGCGGTTAGGATTACTGAGAGCCAAGGACGCATAGGCAGAGGGGCAACCCAACGGAGGATAAATCCAAGATGCGCAGAAGGTCTGCTTAACATCGGATATTTTTTTCATATCGATGATGTCTCCTTATCGGCTTCAAACTTTTCTGAACTGCAGTCACGGGCGAATGGGGGCGCTAAATCGGTCGGTTTGTGCATAAATGCTGGGTAGACCAAAGTGTTATCATGCTGTATGCCTACCCAAGAGGAGACACCTCTACAGATTAGTGGCTGTCAACTTGAAGACAGCAAACAGTTTCAAATAACACAGAGCGAGGTTGCTGCCACATGGACAGAGTTAGGAGGACCTTGTCTCCTCAAAGAATACTGCTCGTTAAGTTTTCTCAAGCTTTAGAAAGTGCCTATGGACCGAACGCAACATCGCCAGCGTGTGTGTGTTTGTCGTAGCCCTCTAGGCGGTGAACTGTGGCTGGCAGTGGGGTGGGAGTGAGGTCGACCCTCAGCGCACTTCTTTCCTCACTAAAACAAAAATCTGATGCGCTTGAAGCTATCACGGTGTGCTAAAAGCCCTGGCTTGGAGTGTTGCCAACTGACGGGATAACTCGGACTACAGAGTCAGCCCAGTGTGTGGAGTTACCTACTGCGGGTTGAGAGTCATACTCAGTGGCTCCTTTTTAATGTGGCCTTTATGGCGCTCCCAGGCGGCAGTCTACATAACGAGAAGTGCTGTTAGTGGGCGTGTTGAGCGTTGGTCGCACCAGCCGCCT